AGCAGAAGGGGCAGAGGAAGAGGCAGAAGCAGACTCCCCGCTGAGCAGGGAGCCCGATGCGGGGCTCGATCCCAGGACCCTGGGATCATGACCTGAGCCGAAGACAGACGCTTAACCGACTGAGCCACCCACGTACCCCCACCCCATCTTTTTGACTTTGAAATTTGTTATTAGTGAAACTTCCTGATTGTCAGTCAGCCTTGAGGGTTTTGTTGTCTATTTCCAGAAAAAGTAGAGGGTTGACTTTGGAGTGTATGACCTACTACATGAGCAGACTTAAGCTCATAGTCCGTTTTCCACTGAGACTGCCATCCGTTGTGCGAACACACCGGTTACTTAGATTGCAGGCCCATCGTTTTTGCTAAAGCAGCAGTGAAGGGGCATACATTAATTGGAAAAGCCTAAATGCCGCTCAAACACTTTTTTCATAATATTTATCTTTGAGCAACTGGAGAGGAGCACAGGATCTCTGGGGCTTGGTCACAGTTGTGCATCATGGTGCTTCCGTTGTCATTCCGGTCTTGGCAAAACTGAGACCAAGCTGATTATTCTTTTTTTTTTTTTAAGATTTTATTTATTTATTTGACAGAGAGAGACACAGCGAGAGAGGAAACACAAGTAGGGGAGTGGGAGAGGGAGAAGCAGGCTTCCCGCTGAGCAGGGAACCCGATGCAGGGCTGGATTCCAGGACCCTGGGATCATGACCTGAGCCGAAGGAGACGCTTAACGACTGAGCCACCCAGGTGCCCCCAAGCTGATTATTCTTTAAGCCTTGGACTTGGACAACAAGTTTTTGGTTGTTTTTTTTTTTCAGGAAGGGAGACAATACATAAAATAAATTGGATCAAACTATCTAATCTTTCATCTGTTATATTCTAAAGTAATGTCAAGTTTTTTTCTTCCCAACTGCTACTTATCTTGCTATTCCTGTGCCAGTTAAAAGACTTCCTTCTCTAGCAGGTGCAGATATGGACCTTTTACTCCTTTCATGTCTTGTACCGTGGGGAGGTTGGCCTATGCTGTGCACAAGCACGTGTCCCTGCCCTTGACTAGTCACATTAGTAATTAGTCAAAACCAGGAAACTAATTAATATGAACTTAAATTGACATTTTGAGAGGGAAATGTATCTGCATTGGAATACACAGAGACTTATACTCTCTTCTCTACTAAATGCTCGGCATATCCTGCACTCTTCTTTACTAAATCTTGTTAGCAGAGGCTCAGTCAGTGGTGGCAGAAGCGTGTAAAGCCACAGGGAAGGCTGAGCCAGTGTTTGCTTTGACTAATTCGGGGGAACATTCAGTAAATTAAAATGGTCAGGTGGCAAGTCTTTATATGTTCTGTACTTTGAGTAATTATTTGATATGGCTTCGTACTCTTAGATTATGTTGGTGCATGCCCATTAAAAATGAATAGGGAATGGTTTTAAGCATTAGTAAATTATTTTGGGGCAGACCTTTTCCCTGATTACTCTTCTACCTGAAAGCTTGTAACATACGAGAAAAGTCATAAAGACATGAGAGGCTCTAGAGTAATAGACTAAGCATTTTAGGTGCTAAAACCTTCAACTGCCTTTAATAAAAGTTTTCTCATTTTGTGATTGAGTTGCTTAGGTGAAATCAGTGTTTATGGATTTTGCATTCTTTTTACTGGAAAATTACAAACTGTAACTTTAGTCACCTAAAGCTTTGAATTCTGGCTCTGTCACTTGGTAACAATGTGATATGAGCCTTGTTTACTCATCTATAAAATAGGGATTATAAAACCAACCTCAGGGGAGGTTTTTGGGGCCGAATATGATAATGAATGAAAAGCACCAAATGCATAGCAAAAGGTCAGTGAAAGTTCCTTTCCTCCTTCCCCTCTGCACCTTTCCTTTTAAACACATCATATTATGCTTCACATTTGAATGTGATAGTAATCACTGATCATATCAGCATGTATGGTTCAAGAAGTACATTGGCCAGCATTCCTTTCCACACTGTGCACATATGAATATTCTTCTTTAACCTGGTGGCTGATGTCTCCTGAATCTTCTAGCCATCGCTGTTTCAGACTCTCCACTTTCTGTGAGCATTTGTCCAAAAAGTGCCAGACCTGAGGCTGGCCAGAGTGTGCCTCTCATGCAGGGTGGCTCTGTCATGCGTTGAGGGCATTATTGAATGTCTTGAAGTACCACGGTTGGCTTGTTAGAATGTGATTGGATGAGTGCCATTGAACAATTGTCATCATGATTAAGGTGCCCCTGTGAAATGAGAGGACTGTGTGGCAGAACTCCTACCGCTATGGGAAGAGCCTGGGGGTTTTTGGGCTTTGACCCCAAATGCATAGTCATTCTGCCTTCCTCACTCCATTTCCTGCTCTCTCTTGAGGAACTAGGCATCCCACCTTGGAAAGAACTGCTGCTGTTGATTTGGGTGGTGGGAGTTGTCAGAGCGTGTGTGACTCTTGTAGGCCATGAGGGAGAAGGTCTTCATATTTGCAGTTGGTGCTGGGTGCGTTTCTAGATTGTTCCTGGCACGTAGTGGGTGAGCATTAAGCGAGCTGACTGAAGGAATTGTACATGAACAGATAAAGTGAACTGTAGCATTTGTTTATATTTTTCACGTAGTTGAGTTACTTCCTTCTAGACTTGAGGAATTTCCTCTAAAGATTAGCTTCCCAATGAAGAATCCGCCCGTGCTCTGTGGATTTTTTCTTCTAAAACTGCCTGTACCCCTAGGACCCCATAGGATCTTGGTCACATGCTAATAAGTACAGTCATACTGCATTTTTATCTTCCCTGCTTATTCTGCCTTCTGCTTTGTATGTCAGTCTTTACTTACAAACCGAAACATGCAGTCCTTCGAGATGATGAATAGTACACGATCCCTTCTTTTTGAAATTCTGTCTCACTCGTGCTTTTCGATTTCTGTTTTCTTTCTTTTTGCTAAATATGAAGTCTTCATGATTTCTGTGTATGATTTGAGGGCATTGGCAGTCATCCAAATGAAATGAGAGCTGGAGATGAAAATTGAAACTCTAGAGCATCCTGTTCTTACCATTTTTGGATTTACGTATTTTTGTTCTCATTTTTAATTTTATGTGTCCTTGCAACCCATCTCTTCATTCTTACAAATGACCTCCGGTATTGGGAGGCCCCTAGGACTTCTCATTTCATCAAATCTGCTCTCTTTATCTCTCCCTAAGCTCCTCTTTACATGCTAGTGTGGATTCCCGAAACACACACTGAGAAGTTCAGTGACCGTTCCCAGAGAAATTGCACATCTCTCCCTCATTCCTTTGATAATGTTTAGATTTCAACCTGATTAGAAATCAAATGTGTCTGTTCTCTAGAGTTAATAATGGGATCACTGATTCAGAATTTTACAACTAAATTTGGCTTTTGCCTGCAGGATCCAGACTCTCTTTATATCACTTTTATATAAGCAGGACTTCAGGTGAAATAGCTCTGCTATTGTACTTTGGCATCTCTTGTATATTGCCACAATGGCTCTTTTCTGGTTGGTTGGCTTCTTTCTCCCTCCTTTTTTCCCTCCCTTCCTTCCTTTCTTCAGTTTTGGATAAAAGTTTGAAAACTTGATAAGACATCAAATTATTGGGTGAAAAATTATCTGGAACCAAGGAAAGTATGCTGCCAAATAACAACACCAAATTCCATGAGATGAAAATCACCTTTCATTCTCTAAGACTTTGAAATATCCAGAAAATGTGCTTCCCTTATCCCAGGTGGGCAGGGTGTATGGATATGATGAGGTGGGGCTTGCATTATATCAGATGGCCTGATTTCAAATCCTACTTAAACTCTTGGACTGTTTTTTTCATCTGTTAAATAATATTTGATAAAACGGCTACGAGGATTCAGTGAGATAATGAGATATAAAGCACTTAGCACATAATAAGATCTCAGAAACACTAACTTGATAATTATTAAGTGGATTCATAATGAATGGCTGAATTCCATTGCTTAGCTTTGTAATGCTGTGTTTTGAAGAACTTAATGTCCTCACATATTACATAAAACCAAGAGAACCTTAATATACAAACTGTATCGTTTTCTTTAATCAGCTCGTCGAATGTATTGTTGAACTTATTTTGCATATTCACTGTTGTATGACAAGAACCTGGTTTGTTTAATTTGGTGATCTTAGTTGGAGCTGGGCTTCTTCCTGAAGGAAGAACGGAAAATTTAGCTTCTGTTATTATTTCATTAATACAAAACAGAAAGTGAAAAAGAAAGTGAGGGGGGTGGAAAAGAAGAACTACGCTGGATTTGAAAGCAAAATTAACAATATACGATGATTTGACTCTTCTCTCCTCTTTAGATCTTTTAGAGAAGTCTCGAGTTGTGAAGCAACCAAGGGGTGAAAGAAACTTCCATGTGTTCTATCAGCTGCTCTCTGGTGCCTCTGAAGAGCTCCTCAGTAAGTCCCTGTGTCTGCGCTTTAATTTTTAGTGTCACAGCATTTCCCAAAGCATTCTTTTTCATGTTCTTAAAAATGTTCCATGCCTGTGGTTGAAGTGCAGAACATGGTCTGTTTGCTCCTGTCATCCTGCCCCAGTATTTGCTTGCTCTGTATCCCTGTACCTCACCAGATGCTGTGCACAGGTCTCAGATGGCTAACTCAAAGAGCTAACTAAATATTAGGGAGGTGAGGGGGAGGGAATCATAAATTTAAACAATAAAATGGAAGTATATGATTGTTCCACTCAGGAAGAAGAAATTAACAGGGAGCAGTAGATGAAAACAACTATAAAAAAAAATTGCTCAGTGAAAATTAAACATAGTGGGAAAACATTTGTAATTGATAAAAGAGTTAAAAATCTGACCTTTGGCTATTTTAGGGAATTAATATAAGTCTATCAGAATAGTATCCAATAAGCTAAGTGATGAAATTTTTGAACAAATAGTCCAAATGGGAACTATGGGAAGTAAATGACATTTGGGGAAGAATCATCCTCACTAATAATCAGCAAGCATAAACCAAAAGCACTGATACGTTCGCTGTACATATATTAGCAGAAGTCACGAAAAAGGACTAACCTGGCAGAATTATCGGGCCCTGGTCTGCTTAGAGCTTGTGGGTGTCACTTCCAAGTGAGGACTTCTTCCTGGGGACTAGTTAGCAATCCAGAATAAGTCATGAAATGATCAGAGCCCACTGCCCAGGCGCACCATTTTTTTTGGAATAGATCCCAATGAAGTAATTCAAAAGAATCCAAAGAACACTTTGTATGAAGACCTTTATCACTGCTCTCGTGTCCAATGGCATGGGAATCACTCGGCAGACCTCATATGTTACAATGAAATAGTGCATTGAAGATGGTTAAGTTATAAAAATATGGAAGGGGCCTTACTATGAATAAATGTAAAAAAAAAAAGCAGTTTGAAATATGTACAACAGTGGTATAAAGGTAGATTTTAGAAAAATGCTATTAGTATTTGGGTATCAATTTTTGTTCTGTTGATTGAGTCCCTAATATGAAAGTCATTTTATCTGGAGGTCTTAAGGAATGAGATATTAAAGATGCTTAGATTTATTGAAGTAACTTACCAGCTTGTATGCGTGATTCAATAGATAAACTTACACTTGAGCGGGATTTCAGCAGATATAACTACCTAAGTTTGGACTCTGCCAAAGTTAATGGAGTGGACGACGCAGCAAATTTCAGAACTGTCAGGGTAAGCAAGATACAATCCTTTCATTATTCTTTAAAATGGGCAACACTGTATATTGCTCATTTGGAATTGATAACAATTCTGAGTTTTCTCAGAGGTCTAACTCATGCACCCTAAGGTTTTAGAATTGCACGAGAATTTCTTGTATTCTTATTAAAATTATACAATATTGTGAAGGCCCACGCTTTCCTAGAGCATGCGATTTTACTATTTATCAAAAGGAGCTTTCTTACTCTATTATCCTGACTCTTTTAATGCTGTATTTAAATCATATATTTTCATGGCGATTGCTTAGTAGTTAATGTCCAGCTGTGAAAACTGTCCTAGGAAAGCATTAAATGAATACTGTTTTTGAGACAGAAAGTCATGTTTTTATATATTTTTCCACAAATCATATGTAAGCCAGAATGATTGGCATTTCATGCTCATTAGAAAATAGATTATTTTAAACACTATCCTAACTTTGAAAATTACTCCTAGTAGGACATGCTATTGTAACTGTACTTCACTTCCGAATGGGACAGCTGTGGTGGTGAGGAGGCGGGGGAGGAGGTCAGATCAGCTGAAACAGGACTGGCATCAGTTCATCTTCACGGCTGAGTGAAAATGACGTGGGGTTCTTTCCTGCTCTATTATTGTATATGTTTGAAATTTTCCATGAGAAAAAATGCACATGACTCCCTTCACTAGGTAGCCTCATCACAAACAAAGAAAAGAAAACAAAAAAGCTGGGCTATTTTCAAAAAGAAAGTATTTCCTTGAGTATGTAATTTGTTAAAACTCTGTAAACATCCCCGTACGGGAAGCCTATTGATTTTTGGACATGATTTAAGAGTTCGGTTCAAGTCCAGTTCTGTAATGCTTTGCCTGGCAAATCATCAGCACTCAATAAAAGTTTATGACTGATGGAATGTTCCTTGTTACCTGTAATGCCTTGGGTCAGGCACTTCACCTTTGCAAATCAGTTTTTCTCAGGTGAAATAAACGAGGAGGGTTTTATGTAGGATTAGGTTATAAAGAGCTTTTTGTTTGGTTTTCTTCCTAGCATCAGAACCCAGTATAAAAAAAGATACATATACACATGTGTACACACACACACACACACACACACACACACACACACTCTCTCTCTGAGCTGCTGCAGATGAAATGGGTTAGAACTCAAGGCCCGGCTCCCAGCCTCCTTTTCCTTCATCTTCCTCTTTGTACTCCTGCACCCCCTTGCCACAGCATGCCAAGTGCCCTGGGGATCCTTGAATCACAGCATGAAACCACTGAACAAGTTAGAGCCCCACACTGGTGCTGCATCAGGTCTCTTAATAGGTTTGCCCTTCGGAGAGCTTATTCTCCGACACTTGGTCTATTCATTTGTTTTTTTTTTCAGAAACGAATCTGTTATCAGATTTAGTAAAAAAAAAAAAATAAAAAAAATAATAATGATAAAAGAATGGCAGAAAGAAAACAGCTGTTTTTCTCCCCCCCCCACCCCCCTGCAGAACGCCATGCAGATTGTGGGTTTTATGGATCATGAAGCTGAGTCTGTCTTGGAGGTGGTGGCCGCGGTGTTGAAACTGGGGAACATCGAGTTCAAGCCCGAATCTCGAGTGAATGGTTTAGATGAAAGCAAAATCAAAGACAAAAATGGTAAGTCGGTGGAGACTCAGCCTTGTTTAGCAAACTGGCTTTGAACTTCTGCCCAATTTTTAATCTAGAAAGTAAAACTTTTGCTTTTCATGGGTTCGAAAACACTTTCCAGTGAAACTGAACAGAAACATAATTAGAGCAGAGTGTTAAGTCTTTCGAGTTATACATTTTCTGCTGTTTGATTTGAATGTGATTTAGAAGGAACACCGTAAGCCTTGAAAATGATTTTTAGCAGCACACAGGCAGTCATCGTTTGTCCATCCCCCCTACAGAGTTAAAGGAAATCTGTGAGTTGACCGGCATTGATCAGTCAGTTCTAGAACGAGCATTCAGTTTCCGAACGGTGGAGGCCAAACAGGAGAAGGTTTCAACTACACTGAATGTGGCTCAGGTGGGTGAAACATAATGCCCAGAAGTAAGTTTTTAAAAAGTCTGTGATATTTGTATTTAAGTGGAAACAAAAATTTTATTTTGCAGGCTATTATATGAACTGTCATACGGTTGTAGGCATTGTTCTGAGCACTCGGGGCAGAGCAGCAAACTAAGCAGATAAGGATCCCTGCCCTTGTGGAGCTTAAACTTTTGGCAAGAGGAGGAGTCCGACAATAGCCAGTTGACCTAGTCAATAAATCAATTTATATAGCAAGCTAGCAGCAGACAAAGAGAAAAACTAGAGCAGCAAAGGGAGACCCACAGTGCTGGGGCGGGGAAGTCGGCTCTGAGTGAGCAGGGAAATGACACCAGTGGCGTGACCTGCCTTGTATTGCAAAGGGTCCTTGTGGCTGCAGTGTGGCGAGCAGAGTGGGGAGTGGGGAGGAGCACAAGCAGGGTGTCTTAGTTTGGGCTGCTGTAACAGGATACCATAGTCTGGGTGACTTAAACAAAAAAACCCGTTTATTCCTCATAGTTCTGGAGGCTAAAAGTCTGAGATCAGGGGGCTAGCGCGATCGCATTCTCGGTGAGGGCCATCTTCCTGGTAGACAGACAGCCACCCTCTTGCTGTATCCTCTTCACACAGCAGGGGGTGGAGGAAGGGAGAATGCATGCAGGTGTCCTCATCCCCTTATAAGGAACACTAATCCATCATCGGAGCTCTCCCCTCATGATGTCATCCGACATCTAAACCTAACTCTCTCCTAAAGGCTCCCCCTCCAAATACCATCCCGTTGGGGATTAGGGCTTCTACATGGAATTTGGGGTGGGGTGGAGGGACTACACATACTTTCAGTTCATGGCACTGGGGAGCTGTAAGAAATGTGTGCTAAGCTAGAAATGATGGTGGCTGAACCAGGTCGTAGCCGTAGAGTGAGAAGTGGTCACCTCTGGGTATCGTTTGAAGGTAGAGGCCACAGGACGTGCTGCTGGCTTGATAGTCAGTATGAGAGAAAGAGAAGAGTCAAGGATGACTCCCAGCACTTTTCACCTAAGCAACTGGGAAAATAGAATTGCCCTTCACAGATTTGGAGAACACGGTGGGAGAGGCCAGTGTGTGGTCAAATGGCCAAATTGGCCTCCCTCCTTCCTTCTTGTCTACTGTCCATCTGAAGCCAGTGAAGTCTTTCTGAGACAGTCTGAGTTGCTTATTTGTTCTCTCTTTTGGTTCAAGTTAAGTGGATGAAGGGATGGATGGATGTGTGTGTGGATGTTATACCCAGGCAGCTTCTGGAACCCTTTCCAATATAAACCCTTTGTTCTACGGCTTAGACATTTTCCAACTGGTCAGTGCTGATCTGGGCTGGAATTAAAGGACTAATTCGGGACTGTTCCCACAGAGCCCTACTTTATTCTCCCCCCATAGTCCAACTGTGTTCTCCCCCTCTTTGTAAGTGGCTTTAAGCATCTGTAAGACAGTAGGTGGATTTCCTCTTTCTCTTGGCTGCTCTGAACTAGGCTCTGCTACTGACCCAGGGATGCCTGTGTGTCTGTAGTTTTCTTTCAGTGTTGATTTCTTATCTTAGGTGAGCTGTTTTGACTATGAAAAATACTATAACTTTGTGTATATGTAAAATTTTCTAGCTATAACTGTTGTGTGTCCTCCTTCTAAAGTACTACTTCTGCTGTCCTGTCTTTCCAGGGCAACCTTACTAATGCAAAGTCAGATGGTGAGCGACTGACTTAATCAAGAAAAATTCGTTGAGCCTGCTCAGCACAGGCCCCCATGTAGACCGTTAGCAGGGGCATAAGGGATGAAAGAAGACTTCATGGAGAAGATGGTTTCTGAGCCAGTCTTGAAGGATTTAGGTGTACAAAGAATGGGCAAAAACACATTTCAAAAAGAAAACAGTGAGAAGAGGAGTCCACATCTTGGGGAGGGTTGGTCGGGCTCGGCTGTAGCTTTAGGCTTGTGAAATGGGTTCAGAGGAATGGGGCTGGAAAGGTTAAGTGTGGAGGCGGTTCTCAAACTTGAGTGCACATCAGGACCCCCTGGAGGGTTTGCCAAACCTGGTTTGCATGCCGTGTCTCTGGAGCGTTGGATTCAGTAGGTCTGCGGTAGGACTGAAGAATGTGTGCGTCTCACAAGGTCAGTGCTGCTGCTGGTCCAGGGACCACATTTTGAGAACCACTGTATTGAAGGTCACACTGAGTTTAGACATTTTCAATAGCCAGAGTGGTGATCGTTAAATATACGCTGTTGCAAAGAGAAAAGGCCTGCTGCTTAAGAAGCCCTTTAGGAATATCCACATATATATGGATATATATGGAATATATATGTGGCTATATTGTGGTGTTTTTATTGTGTAGTTTTACTCTTGCCTTTTAATCATCCTCTACGGAAACCAGGCCCAGGTGCCTCCTACTTAATGAGCTTGAGTCACCTTGCATCCCTAGGTTAAACTTTTCCACATTCTTTTAACCTTTGGCATAAAAGAATTTGGCTTGAGATCCTTGGTTTTTCAGCTCCTTATTCAAGTTCTTTTTTAATGTAGGATTTAGGTTTCTACCAATCTTACTGCCTAAAAGGTTTCAATTCCAGCAGGAAGTAATTTGTTTTATTAACATTTCCTCATAGCTTCAATTCTTGGGCCCCATGATCATCTTTATTGCCCCGTTCCTCATTCTCCCCAAGGCATTTCGATCTTTCCTCAGATACAGCGAGGAATAGTGAAATGATAGACACTCAAGACAGAGCTGTCTTTCAGCTTCGGCCACATCCTCCCTCCCTGCCTTCCACGGCCCTCGGCCCTCGGGCCCTCGGTAATCCTGACCCTACACAATTGATCTCAGTTTATTCCCTGTGCTGAGTTCTCTAAATGCCATACTTCTTTTTACCCAGTTCCTTTGCTCCTACTTCTCCTTTACCCACATGCCATGGCTCATTCTTCCTGTCTGTCTGAATGGTCCATCTAATTACACCTCATCCAGGAAGCCTTCCTAGATCCCATTGGCCCCCTCTTCTCCCTTCCCTGAATTCCTTTTTCTCTTGCTGTTGGGCACTTGCTCTCTGATTGTTCCATTCATCTTGGTTTGATCTCCACCGCCACACTGTAAGCTTCTACCGAGTGGGCCCTACAGCCATACATCTGTGTATCTCCTTCACCTGGGCCATAGACTAATAGCGGTCATGTCCGAAGCACATCCACTGGGGATCTTTCTCAGTAAGCTTCACACAGCTGCAGAAACGTGTAGTCTCTTCATATTGTGCTTAGAATCTGAGATGGTGAATCGGTGCATTCGGTGTCTTCCTTATTTCTGTACACCTCATTGGTGATCCTTAAGTGAGAGTAAATATTCCTTCCCCTACTTTGGAGGACATTAGTGTGGAAATGAAGTGGCATGAATCAGACTCAGGAAGTCAGGCCTGGGAGATGGGCAGCTCCCTGGGGACATTTGAGTTTGAGACTTCTGGAATAAATAATTTGTTTGAAGGCAGCAAAGAAGATTAATACATTGGCTGTGAATACACTTTAAAAAATACAATGTAGTGCCAGAATAAGTTGTCACTATTAGTTCGATTGCATATTGAAATGGTGGTTTTTTGGAAGCCGGTAGCATACCACGAGAAAAACCAGATGCCATTCTGATGACATTCTGTTTGCAAATAAGTGATGTTTTGAGATTATGCGGTGTTTTCAGGTAAATGGAATTTGCAAGAAGAAAGCGGAGAGGATGAAGAAAGAATTCTATAGGCGCACGAGCGGGAAAGGAAGAAGATACTTCAGAAATCATGATATAAATACATGTATAGACTTACTGTGTAGGGGCGCCTGGGTGGCTCAGTCGTTAAGCGTCTGCCTTCGGCTCAGGTCATGATCCCAGAGTCCTGGGATCGAGCCCCGCATCGGGCTCCCTGCTCCGCGGGAAGCCTGCTTCTCCCTCTCCCCCTCCCCCTGCTTGTGTTCCCTCTCTCGCTGTGTCTCTCTCTGTCAAATAAATAAAATCTTTAAAAAAATTAAAAAAAATTAAAAAAAAAAGACTTACTGTGTGCCAGGCACTGTTCTAGGCACTTGTATGGCCTATTTGAAGAAAGTAAAACCTAGAAGGAAGGAGGGTAGAGAAAAGGTGTTTGTCTAAACCCAGGCTTCTTTCTCTATCTCAGCATTTACATGCATTTTCTGCAATGGGATCATTAACCACCATCACCCTCCAAGACAACATTGTGCAGTTGGGTTCTATTTGTCTGCCAACTTCTCAGTGGATTTTCTAGCTCTCATTGGAGTGGCTGCCTGAGATGTAGGGAGAGAGATTTGGGATTAGCATGGAAGTGTCAGATGAAGGGAGAAGGTGCTCTAAAGCTGCCGTACGTTGCCAGCAAGGTGACTGTGTGATTAAAGTTGTTACACTTCATTTAGAAAGAAACGTGGAAAAAGAACTTCCATATAACCTAATTCTTTATAAGATAAAAATGGAATGGTTTGCTTTTGTAGTAATGCCCACATTTCTACTTACCAGCAGTGTTAGGAATAGGAGCAAACCCTCCAGTTCTGCTCCCCGAGGCTGCTGACGCTCATCCGCAGGCCTCCCCGGGAGCACTGCCTCACACATCTCTTGTTGGTGCGCGCTTGAGGTACCCACGTGGCACCCGATGCCTGTAGGGACTCTTAGGTTCGCCCCAGCAAGGCTCCCTTTCTCCAGTGCGTGCATTCTAGGTCAGAGTCAGCGAGACTCTGTCTTCTGCCCCTTCTTTGTCAGGTACCTCTGAACAGCTTCAAATAAATGAATAAGCAAATAAAAGCATGTGATTTCTATTTTATCCAGCACATTGTCTAACAGTGTATTGTGACACTAGTCTTTATGGAATTTTTTTTTTAAATGTCCAGAGGGTTGAATGAAGGAAAAAATTTGCAGATCACATCAGTGAGACCCATTTTCACGTTTTTTCTTTGAGTTTCCTTTCCTATGTGTAGGGGTTGAAAAGATAGGAGTCTTCGTATAAAATGTACAGTTTCTTATTTTCATAAAACATAAGCATTTTCCATTTTATTAGCTAATTTTTATAATGATCATTCTGTGATAACTGTGTAACTTCCCTTTCAGTGGGCATTCATTTATTCATTTTGCTATTCTACTGTTGTTGGACTTCTAAATTGCCTCTGATTTTCCTCTCTTCTGTAATACTGAGATGGATATCTTTCTGGAGAAAGTGTTTGTAATGTTTTGAATTCATTTCCTGGGATGCAAAAAAGCATAATAATTGGGTATAAATAATTTGCCCAATTCTCTTAACGGTTTGACTGTTCATCCAGAGTATAATGAAGACTGGCTCTGAAAAGAAATTTGAAATAAAACAGCTTTAAATATTTAAAGAAATACCTTTATTATTTTATTGAAATTAAGCATTGTGACAATTGTGGGTGCTGAGTTTTTCTTTTTCTTTCTTCTCCTTTTTTTTTTTTTATTAATAGGCATATTATGCCCGTGATGCTCTGGCTAAAAACCTCTACAGCAGATTGTTTTCATGGTTGGTAAATCGAATCAATGAAAGCATTAAGGTACTGAATTTCAATAACCAGATAAATCAGTTGTAATAAATGGTATTCAGAGTATAAACATTAAGTTAAAAATACTTTAATTCTATAATCAGATAATTGATTATGACTTACAAAGTTGTTCCTTGAAAAGAATTTACCTTGCATAGGATTGAAATTTGTCAGGATTCTATTTATTTTGTTTTGCCATGTATGTTGTAAGAAATCTCACCCGTCAGTGGTCTAGTGGTCTTTGCAGAGTTACTCTGAGAGCATCCTAGGTCTTGGTTGTGGTTCATCTATCTAGTTTATGCACTTGGCTGAAAAGGTCACTTAACCTCTCTAGCTACTGATACGTTCTTCAGTAAAATGAGGGTATTGGAGTAGTGTGATTTTGAAAGGCCCTACCTAGATCATAACATTGAGCAATCTTTTATTATAATAAAGCATCACTAATACCATCTTTAAATAAGTCACCTATTAAAATTTCTGGAAGATTCCATACCAATATTCTATCTCATACATTAAAAAAAACAAACAAACAAAACTAAACTAAATTACAGTTATTCTCCTAGTTGTGAAATGCAATTAATTTATAATGTATGTCTGTATTCCTTAGTATGCTTTTAGTGTTCTATTTCAGGCCTGAATTAACCCATCAATTTTAAACTTTTTTTAAGGCACAGACCAAAGTGAGAAAGAAGGTCATGGGTGTTTTGGACATCTATGGCTTTGAAATTTTTGAGGTAAGCTTTTTTCCTAGCTTTTGTATTATCTTTATGCGGAATAGTTGGAAACTACATTGTATATTCTATAGACCACATTTAATTTAATTAATATAACTTTGAATCTACAAAGAAGCCTTTTTGCGGATGTAACAAAGTGTGTGTGTGTGTGTGTGTGTGTGTGTGTGTGTTTTGAGTGCTGAGAGCCAGCATTTTGGAGCCAGTGCTGTCAAAGGAAGAACTTCTTGTAGCAGTATTTGACTTTTGTAATTGCAAATTCAGAATTCTTCCTGTGAAATTGCTAACAAGGTATATGGACATTGGGCCTTAGTCATTCGTTCATTTGTAAGAAAGGGAAGCAAGATGGTGCCCTGAGAAAGCACGGAGCCCAGGAGCCAGATGCTGGCTGTGGCCTGGCCGGAGCTGGTCACCTCATCCCCGCTGGACTCAGGCAGAGACGGTCTCGACTGGGTGATGTGTTGGGTCTCATCCAACTGCAGTCTTTCGATAGGAGTTCTGTTGCAAAGGTTGAAAGAATTTCAGTGGAAGTTCATAATGAATTTTTTTAAAAAGACTCCATGCCTATTACAGATTAAATATTTAAACATTATATACTTACATTTGAATTTCCCATTTATCCTCTTGCTAACTTTGACATTTAGAAGCCATTTTAAGGACTTTTTTTTTTTGCCCCCTCCCCCATTTTAAGGACCTTTTAAAGCATGTACTCTTACTTTTAGGAGTGGTATTTTAGTTTGGTTTGGAAAAATAACAAGTAGATCAGGCTCCTCCTTTTTTTATTCTCCCCGTAAGTAATGATTTGTGAATTCCTTTAAATAAGCAGTCTGTGCCCAGAATGACCACCCAAAGCCTTCACGTGTTCCAAATTATCAGGTTCACAGAATAGCAAAAAAACATCAGCCCATTCCCTGTGCTAAGCTAGGCCTTTCTAGCAAATGTCTTTTTCTTACAACATTTATTTCTGTGATAGTACCTTCTCCCTGCTTGACCACAGTCCATATTGAGGCCAGTTATTGAGGGCTACCTGTGTGTAAGCATTGTGGTAAGTGGTACATATATTGTTGGATTTAATTTTCACAAAAATGTCATGAAATTGCTGCAGTTATTCCTATTTTGCAGGTGAGGAGGTGAGGTTCTGAAGGTCAAGTAGCTCCCAAGGTTACATGGTTACCAAAGGGCAAACTCAGGACCTAAACCCTAGGCCTCCTTAATAAATAATGAAAGATCTCCTATAGGGCACTTTTCTCTCCAAACTCATAAGATCCCCAGTACCTGAAAATAAGGAGAAAACGCAAATGTGTTAAGTTTCTGATGCCCCATATTTCTGTGCACTTGTCATCATTCTGAGCTGGCCAGCACGGGGAGCCCCCCTGGGGTTCTTTGGTGTGCTGGTGGCCGAGTGTGGGGCACCTGTGCCGTGTGCTGGCTGCTGCCGGCCCCCCCACCCCCCATCCTGCCCCCCAAAGATGCTCTTCAGCACAATGTCTGCTTATATTGGTGCCCCTTTAGCAGACTCTGCAAAGGAAAGCTTCTAGGCTCTTGGTAATAGGGAAGAATTTGAGGTTTGTGAGTTAGGAGAATTGCTTGAATATACTCAGAACTACCCTGAAATAGAAAAATCCTTTTCTAAAAAAGCCCCCCAAACCAGAACTTTGAACCAAGACCAAATCTAACCAGTCATGTCTATAGCAGATCTTATGATGTACCTAAAATCATGAGAAATTAATTTTCCTTCTCCATGCAGTAAATGCTTTGATTTTTTTTCCCAGTTCTTTGAGAGAATTAAGATTTGTCTTTCATTGTAACTAACTGTTCTCTTCATTTTCCTGTCTAAACCTTCTCAGATCTTCCAAACATCCTGATTATTAATAATCTGCTTAATGATTTATTTTATAATTAAATTTACTTGGGTGAAGTCAGAATAGAGATTTGGTTGCACACTTTTTTTTTTTTAAGATTTTATTTATTTATTTGACAGAGAGAGAGATAGCAAGAGAGGGAACACAAGCATGGGGAGTGGGAGAGGGAGAAGCAGGCTTCCCACAGAGCAGGGAACGTGATGCAGGGCTTGATCCCAGGACTCTGGGATCATGACCTGAGCCGAAGGCAGACACTCAATGACTAAGCCACCTAGGCGCCCCTGGTTGCACACTTTTAGATACTTTACCTGCTTTTTGATACGGAATTAGAGAGGCTTTTTTTTTTAATGTATTCACATGCATGCCTCAGGTGCCATCCTACATTTTCCTGGATTCTCAGCAAAATTAGAACACATGGAAACATCAGGAAGTCCATCGTATTGAACATGAGGGAGCCAGGCAATTAAGGACTTAAAAGTACCAGAAGCTGAAATATAAGCTCAAAGTCTGACTTGGGAAGAAGTATTCTGAATCCTCATCAGTGCACAAATGAAAATTTCTATGTTATTGTATACCCAAGTGAAAAAGAAACTGATGGAGTATAGAGAGAATTCTGCCTTCGTTTTTCCATGAAACTTGACTGCAAGAATTAAGTGTTCTACCTTTTAGAACACCCTGGGCATCACTTTAAAAATTGGACTGTGAAGGTTCAGAAAAAAAAATTTTTAATGTTTCTAATTCTGCCTCATGACCCCATTGACAGTTGCCATGAAAACGTTTTTCAGCTGAGCTGGTGGAAACCTTTCATTCATTTTGGTCTGTCTCTAAATGGAAGAGGGAAACTGATGCATTAAACCATGGGATGATGACCCATGGATTTGACTGCAAAGCATTCCAGGGCCAGCTGCATGAATAGCCCTGCCTTGCTGGCCGCATGTGATCTGATGTCAGTTTGGAAAACAGATTAGTGGAACACACTGATACCAAAAATAAGAGGAAGTGAGTTAAAACTCATAGAGAAGAAAAATCTAGTTATAAATCCTCATTGAATGTAAGTCCAGTTTTGCAAAGGAAGAGAGTTCTATAATCCAGACACTCCAATTCCACACAATTAAGTTTGGATGTTCTTATAACTGCTCTCAGAAACATTTATAGCGTCACCATAAAATAACAAATGAAAAAATTAAATTCAGAGCGAAGTTGAGCCATCTAAACTGATTCAGCTTTTTTCTAAGTGCTTATCTGAGAAGTACTAAAAATGGCAGGTAGTTTACTGGGAAAATCTAACGAATTATTAGTGTGCTATAGACCAAAGCAGAACAGCAGGCTGGATATTTCACTTTTCATACAGTTGAGCTGGTTTCATATATCCAAAGTTATTTTGAATCAGGCACTCTTTATTCATCTTGCCCTTATGAACCTCATTGAAAGTGACCCATATACAGTAAGAATATGATAGGCTGGATGCAATGATTGTTCCAAATAAAAGAACCTAATAGGTGAACAAGAGTCAGTGTAGCCTGGTAAGTCTGTCTCATGATGATGAGATTTGTTTTCTAAATTGATTTTAAAAGAAAATTGATTCTGGTTATAGGTAATACCTTTTGTTCCAGCTTTTTTCCTTTAATTTTGTTCTTCGTGTGCTAGAGAACTTAAAGAGGAAGGAGAATTTTTAAAGTACATTTTAGAATGGAAATGATGGGAAATAATATGGTTCATAATATGTATCTGTACATCATGACTCTTGCTTTTTAAGTCAAAGCTTATTTTATGTAAGAAAAGCACTATAATGTTGTTTTTCTTAAAATTTACCATATTTTAATATGTACTAGGAAGAAAAATGTTATGTATTTAGAGAGTGCAAGACTTAAATATCTACCTGTCTTAAAGAGCATAAGGTATCATTAGCCGCCTCTATTGCCGAGAAAATACAGATAAATTAGTAACAGGCAGGTATTTTTGACCCATCTTTCAAAATCCTTCCAGGCGGGAAGTTCATAATTGATACTTAAGAGTATAAAGTAGTTGTGAACTTCACTGGGAGTATGGTTTTCTGTTTGTTTGATGTTGAAAAGGTGGACTCAAACTCAGGAATTCTTTTTTTTTTTTTTT